TTACTCATAGGTAGGCGTGATGGTGGCCAAACGCCATATTATCAAGTCTTAAAAAAAACAAAGCATCATTCTGTCCAAATATCGTGTTCAATTGGAAATATTTCTTAGCCCACTTTAATAAACCAAACAACGTACACGTAACCTAAATATAATAATATCAAGAGCAGCAAATATGACGCTCACCAACCCAGATTTTAAACTCCTTCCTAATTCGGTTTATTCTAAAAATTCTGCTCCATTTAATCCATTCTATTATCTAAATGGCTAGAGAAGCTAACTCAATTACGAAGACAGTAGAACGAATGAAAACTAGTTCAACTAATTGCATGTCATAGGTACCAGCTTTCGTCCAGGTAGGAATGGTCATGCCGTTTACAAGTTAAATTAAGTCTGCATTATCATTTTAAAGTTTTAAAACATCCAGGCGTAGAAAATGTGATTTTTATGGTATAAGACGGTAAACGAGCAGACGGATCACCTGATGGTAAGCAATCGGCGTCACCCATGGACACCCGGAACACCAGAGGCGTTACAAGTGCGTTACCGGCCTTTTAGGGATTAAGGGTTCGAGGAGTGTTGGGCCTCCAGTAACCTCACTCACACGATGAAATACAACGCAAGCGTTGTTTCACATCGGTTTTCTGTGAGCATGTGCATGACTCTCCCACATTTATATTGTATGTTTGTACTGTACTATTATGTATGTTTCTTGTACTGTATGTTTTTCCAAAGATGATTTAAGAAGTTATTTGTCATAGATTTTCTGAATATGGACCAACAACGAATGATACCTAGATGGTGGAACCGTAGGATGGTGATTGCTTTCTGAAGATATTAGAAATGGTGGTTTAACAGTGCACATTTGACTTAGTAATGATGATAACACCAGGAGAATTCTCAAGAGGTAAAAGTCTTTTTAAAAGCATACCCTCAAACGACAAAAGCAGACGAAACCATTAAAATGACTGCACATACTACCTATAGAAGTATAGATAGCGTAGAGGTAAGTCTAAGTACTGTCTGAATTAAATTGCAGTGCAGTATGTCGTATATCCCTCTAGACGGTCTATTGTCGCACCAAGAAAAACCAGGTGCACTTCTAAATCACATTATACGACGGACAAAGGAACAATCTAAGCATTTATACCTGAGTTTTTAAGAAAATTTCTGTGGAGTAGATAAACTAGGAAACTATTGTTGAGTATAATATTGTCAAAACGAGGGGTGTGGTGGTGATTTGAATATTTTCTGTCCTGTGAAACAATGGATATTAAATTGATTATCGATAGTGCTGAATATCAATACAACTATTAGTGACTTCCCACCTCAAAAAACAAACTATAATGTTATTATTTGTCATTAGGCCCGTACAAAGTTTAGCACTAATTGCCACACGGAAATTAATTCAGTCCGCGTAATGTCATTACTAAAATTACTCAGCATTACAGTTAATAAGAACAATTATCTATAATTGTGTTTAAAAAATAGAGGCAGCCATTAAAACCAGCCAAGTGCTAGTTGTATTCGTGTACCAATGGCGACAAAACCACATTTGTTTCTGAAGCCCTTTTAAATGTAATCTTATTGTTTGTTGTTAGAAACACGATAGTAGCACTGAATTAAAAATCAACTATCTACATATATTATGTTCGTAAGATAAAGACTGGTGAATGATGACAGTTAAAGATAGTCAAAAATACTGTTAAACATGCTCTAAAATAGCAGGCTAAGAAGCGTTGTAATTATCATGTCTTAAAATTGAATGCTTATTGATCCGCAAGCACGCTCAAAATGAACATGCTAATTTTGAGCAACATTCGGACACACAACAACTACTAAATGACTAGTGCTCAATTGGAGCATGCTTTCGTGCTTGTACTTAGCATATTGTGTTATAGTTCCTATACACAATACACTTAAGTTTCAGAGATAGGGTCCAAGTTCACCTCTCAGTACAGCACGCTAAAATATAACTGTTGCAATTTTACATTATTATAATTTTCTTGGGAAATCAAATGAAAGCAAAGCGATTAAAATAATGAACCAACAATTGCCACTCATAACGATATTAATAAATTGCTGGCATGTAATTGTTTGCAGTTGCATGCATGAAGCCATGAATTTTCAGGCCAACTTAAAGCTTTTACACTGCTATCTTAAACCTGCCTACTAGTTGTGAAGATTTTAGCGAACATTCTTATGTTAAGAAGGCCATAGTTAAATAGAGGACCGTCTCAGACTATTTATATTGATGTAGAATAGAATACAGTCAGTGTGACTGCACGGTTGGCGCGGTATCTGGGCAATTGTATCACGGGTTCGATTCCCGCACGGAACAACTCCTTGTGTGGTCCACATATTGTTGTTCCGGGTTTGGATGTGATGTGAATGTGAACTTGTGTGTTGGTAAACGCACGACACAGGTGAAAATCCTAGTGTGGGGCAACAATTTATTGTATAAAAAAATATAAAATTTAGTTTATTGTGTAACTATGTAGCTAGAGAATTGTATCGTGAACCTGATTGAAAAAGCCTATGGAGTTAACCTATGGAGTTTCTTGCTCGTTCTTCTCCATAGAAATCCCCTGAAATTAGCAAATAGCTTAACTTTAATTATTTTGTTGGCGTTCAAAAACTCTTCCTTGTTTAATTGAAATAAATGATTTTGACTTTGACTTTGTTCGGAACATTCTTTTTTCGATAATAGCCCCTCGATCTCCATAGAATATTGTTTTTTCTTGTAACGTACTTAATTTGTTCCAATACCAATTAGTGAACTCTCGTTTACTTAAAACATCTTCATTAAATTATGTAAATATTGACATAATCTACTGTATTAATATCAGAATCAATTTTAACTAATAAAAATTAGAGGTTTGTTTTCACAAGAAGATCATAAACAAACAGTTCGTTCTTTTAAAACTTTTTACTTTGTTTTCATAGTTTTTAAAATATCCAAAAAGTCCAATATTTTATTCGTTGTTGGTTTAATTGAAAATTCATGGAATGCGTCATATGAAGAGCCTACTTGATACGCTCATTTCAACCCTCCATATACACAACTACCCTGTTTTCAAAAGCCATTAATAAATAAACGACTCCTTAGCCGAACACAATACATTTATAAATGACAACTCTGCTAATCAGTGGTTAATTAATCTTGTATTTACCCCTTTCCCTAATTATTATTAGTAGATTGTGGTGAAATAGATTAAGCATAATTAGTTACTGTCCCATGTATCATTTTATAGATAGATATCATTCAGTATTGGACAGATCGAGAGAGTTGATAACAAAGATATCAAAAGTAATCATGCATTGTTTAGTCAGCATATAAATAATTCTGATATTAAAAAAGGATTGTGAAACAATCATACAAATTCAAAACGTTTCCGAAAAGAGATAACACATTGGCATCAGAACTTATCTGCAGATAGATAAATAGATCAGCTTTCAAAATACTTTGGTTGAAAAGCCAGTCGTACTATAGAACGAACAACAAGAATTTAAACTTAGTGTAAACACGTCTTGATTCCCTGGCGCTTCGGATGGAACCACGGAACAGAACGAACTTGTAGTTTTTGTGCAAACAAAATCACCGCGTGGTGTGACACATCAAGCTAAAATACCACTGTATCATGGTCCCGCTTCGTACGATCTTTCCGAATATTTAACGGTCCGCTTATCTTGGTTTTGTTACCTCGATGTGTAGTTGTCTACAAGTTGTTCGACGCCAGGCTTCTTGCATCCAACTCATTGTCTGAGCGTTTGAAAAATTTTCCTAGATAGTTACGAACTTCTTCCTGATAGGTACAAACTAACAAACAACGTGTCTGTTCCCTTTCAAGAAACTTAGATTCTTTAGATTAGTTCTTGTTCCTGACTGGCTATCAGTTAAATAGTTTTGACATTGAGGTAAGATAAAGTCTTGAAGATTGCGAAGATCGAATTCATTCTAGTAAGGAAGGAAGTGTTTTAAAAAAATCCTCAGTAGTAGCACGGAGTCTGAAATTCTGTCCGTTATAGAGTAATAGGCCCACCCCTATTACATGGGACTCATAACATAAATAGTGAGAAGTGGGTGTTACATTGTGCAGTGAGTATTACATTAAGTGACGTAATGTGTACCTCTGCGTACACCCGCCTGCTTTTTAGATAATAGGCGTGATGTTATGTTTATGTGGAAGGAAGTTGTTAGTTAGGTACTACTTTAACGGAGAGTATCTTGTGAAAAAAAAACATCAATGAATCTAATTGATCGGTACCAGTTCGGACAAATAAAGTGGACCATTTGATTTCCCAACTAACCACAAATAGGTACTTTGAACATTAAAACTAGGGTACTACGAGTTGTTTTACCGAACTGTTTCAAAAGTTGATGCAGAAAAGGTAAAAAATATTGTAACACGATGTATCAGTGTTCGGGGTTCGTGTTAGTTCCAAAGTCGAATTGATTTTGAATGTATAACTTTGGTATTGGGATTTAAAACAAATGAATTAAAAAAAGCTTGACTACATATTGCATGTTTTATTTGTGGCCACTGTCAATTTGTTCGGGGGCTGGGGGCTTGAATTGAAACATTCGGATACTTTTTTAATATTTTTTTTCTTCCAATAGCCATGCAGTTTCTATTTTTATTGTTTAGTCGGTGTCGTCCTCTGCAATATTTTTAAAATTGCAAAAATATCGTGTATTTTTATTTCGTTTGCGTGTTGTATTATTTTTAGTACGCCTGTGGGATTTTCAAATATTTGATGAGTTCTTTTTTCAATATATTTGTAACGCCAAAAAGTTTTCCATTTTTTTCCGTGCATTACATGTAAATACTTGCAAATACTTTATGTAAGCAACGTATGCAAATGCTGAACTATAAATCACAAATATAATATTTCGTCTAGCCTCTTAGTTTTACATTTAATTTAAACATTTTTCGTAATTTTCTTTCAATCAGTATCTCGCTGGTTGGTTCCCTAAAATATAGACAAGAATAGGTACTTACCAAATATCGTGCCGATGTTTTCAGTCATTTTGACAGAGATCGCGCCGTCGAAGAGTGAGTCAATGCAAGCACTCAGAGCCCTTGCGCAGGCACTAGTTCCGATCTGTTGGACAACATTTTTATGTAATTGAGATAAAAATGGAATTGCTACATACTTAAATTATTATCAACAGATAGTGAGTGATGCTTAATCAAATTATATAAGCATGATCACGTGCGTATTTACATCGAAATAAAATGTGAATTTTAATCATCCATAATGTTATACGTTAAAAATAATTTTAACGAAAACTGATCGGTTTCATAATGTCAAATGACCATGGTTACGGGACACGTATTAAGGTTAAATAATGCTTAAAATAGTGGTCGGCGAAGCCTAACAATTCGTAGAAACTTGAGACAGCTGTCAGTAGTAAATGTACTACAAAATAGTGCCTTAATTACACTGGCTAACCTTTTACTCACATGTGTTTTGTGGATAAACGAAATTATCTAAATGGACATGAGTGAAATGTGTGGTCACCTGTGACATAAACTTCTATGTAAGTCATATACCTACCTAATCTGTTCTACGCACTTTATAAAAAAACAATGAATGAAACATAATATTGTAGGTACTTTAATTTGGCGTTAAGTAATAACCCATCATGTCTTTAAAACTTTGACAAATGAATGCACAAAAAGTTCGAAAAACAAGTATTCAATAAAAATCTTAAATGTATGAGTTTTCATTATTTACCTAGCCTACTAAATCATTAATATTATGAATTGCAGTTGCATAGAAACAAAATAAATTAAGTGTGCAAAGTTAAAAAAGTTTCCTATGCTATGCAGGCTACACGCCATCCATTTCAACTGTGAACGGTACTATTAAACCGTAGGTCCATACTGCCTACATCATCATCAACAGCCTATAAATGCCCACTGCTGAGCAAAGCCTCTCCTCACACGGAGAAGGTGTGAGCATTAATCACCACGCTTGCTCAATGCGGGTTGGCAATTACAGACTTATAATTAGAAATTATAAGCGCAGGTTTCCTCACGATGTTTTCCTTCATCGTTTGTTAGTGGTGTCTAGATAATCTTAGAAAGTACATATAACTCGGAAAACGTCACATTGGTTCTTGCCGTTGGTAGGTTTCGAACTCGCAACCACATGCATGACAAGCGGGCGTCTTAAACCTCCGGGCCACCACGACTAATACTGCCTACACACCTAACTATTTAACTATACAGTTCGACTGTAGTTTAACTGCACAGTTACATCGTTGGGAGTGTAGCGTGCTTCATAGACAGTCGGAATTTAGTCCCAATTTACTTTTTAGTCGTTTAGTTGTACATAAAATGTTTGCTATCGTGCTTATTGTATGCTAATAATACGGCTAGAAATATGAGTTATGAACAACAGTAAAATCCAAAAGTTATGTTGTTTCTTTATTGGTTTTTTGTATGGAATTAAATCTATTTTCAACTTTGTTTGTACCTGCGTTGATATTTTTATAAGCTGAAAAGTTTTTGTTTGTTAGAAATTTATTTAAGCTTATTCGAATTCATATACATTATTTAACCTTTGAGACCTTTTGTCTACGGCATATTTTGACCTTATTTGGTTATTATCCAGACTAGGGCCTGATCCTTCAAAGTTAGTAATAGTTTCCATTTAGTATTGATTAGATACATTTTATACCTTATAAGTACTTACTCTAGCATATCAACCTACTCCCATTATTCTTGTAAAACGCTTGTAAAAAACTTTCAACCTTACAGCAAAGTGTTTAAGTTGAAAATAAAAAGTATACTTACGAGATACTCGAGCACCATGTTCCAACCAATAATAAAAGCCAAGAATTCGCCTACAGTTACGTACGAATACATGTACGCGCTCCCGGTGGTGTTGGGGACGCGCACACCGAATTCTGCGTAACATGCACCTGTGAGGACAAAACATAATAAAATAAATATCATCACCAGCCTAAGTGCCTATATTGGTTAAGATTGTATACCACAACTGCTCCGAGTCGCGACGCCTACATATGGTTAGTAAGGTGGTACTTATCTATGCAGGAAACCAGTTCTTAAGGAGCTGGTCTAAAATCCTCGACACCGAATGACTCTATAAACACTTCGTCTTTCTATATGTGTTCGATACAGCAAAGAAAAAAGAAGTTTTTCAAATAAATGACCCTATTATCATGAAGTCTAGGACTGTGTCTGGTATATGATCATTACCATGGGTGTTATAACACAACTGGTGAGTAAAGTGAGTGTTACCTTGTATATATGCCTACAGCACCTTGTCTGTTACAGTCGCGGGGAAAGTAGACGTTATGCTTATGACAAATGCGTTCTATTGTGTCATCACCACACGGCTCCACAGGACATTAGGATAGGAAACAGTTTTAATGTCAATTACAGAACAGTGTATTTTCCATTACATTTGGGAACGAAATTATGATTTTTGATATTTTAAAATATGTATAATGTTAACTGTATAGGCGACGCGGTGGCTATGTACCGCGCAACGAGTAACGGGTTCGATTCTTGGACGGAATAAATCTTTGTATGGTCAACTTTTGTTTCGGGTTTGAGTATGATACATATGTGAATCTGCATGTTTGTGAACGCACCCACGAAACGATCGTTGGATGTAGACTTTATTCTTATCACCACTTTTGTAACTTTTGATAATATCTTTCCCAAAGGAAATCGAGTACATAATATAATATTCTTTAATTCACTCACCGCTAAAGATAGATGCCAGGGCTGCTATGATGAAGCTGATAACTACGCCGGGGCCAGCAAATTTCTTTGCCACCATTCCGGCGACCAGGTACATGCCAGTGCCGACACAGGATCCCACGCCCAAGGACGTAAGATCCAAAGTGCTGAGACATCGCTGCGAAAGAAAACTCTAGTTATTATTTGAAAACAGTGGCTATATACGTGACTAACACTAACGAGAAAATAAGTAATAACGATTTATTTTGCCAAAGGATTTATTCAAAAGTTTACTTAAACTAACTTGTTATAAATGCAACTGAAAGACAATATGAACAAAGGTACATGATGTACTTTTTAAAAAGATTTTAATTTTTTTTCATAATATTGAATCTAGTGGCCTTTAGTGCTTGACATCAGTGTTTGTCCTAATAAATATCATAGTTAATGATTTAGTACTCACACTTCTATAAGTGTACCTACAATAGAAGTATTGTAGGTAGTACATCCTTACTAATATTATAAATGGGAAAGTGAGTTTGTTTGTTTGTT